CGAGAGAAAGCGTGTTATTGAGTACAACCTGTTCAATTTCACGAACCTGTAATGGTCTGTATAAAGTGTACCATTCTCGAGGCGGAAAACTGCAACATTGTACAGACAGGCTGTGACCCTGGCTCATACTGACAACAGATTTAACATTCCACATTACTGGATTGACTGGAGGTTACCGTAGTTAGTTGACTGAAATACGTGTGGACGACACCACAGACAGACATCATACCAAACACTTGCCAGTCTCTGACGTAGCATTAAAACGGCTGACAAGCAATTAGTGAAGAGACTTAGACTACTGTTTTTTTTTCTGTTGCGGTAATGAGATGTTTTCGAGAGGTAAGAGTGCGTGTGGTGCTGTTCTTGCTACTAATTTTATTGCTTTACATGGGTTATAAAGCAATGAGAGAGAATGCGTATGTTAGCCGAATACTCTGTCAGTCCCGTTCTGTTGGAATTGTATGCCTTGCACCATATACCAGATATAACTTTAAGCTTTCTGATACAATCCACCTTCGAGTGGCTGCATAATACATGGGAAAGGATAGGCGCGTTGTAAAGGGGCCTTGTGGTGCCTTGCATTGGTTAAAGACAGTTTATTTTCCCCTGCGTCATATTGGCATTGTATTGACAAACAGCACGACTCTGTGCATTCAAAGATGAGAAGGATCACCCTGCTGCTTTTCACTCTAGCATTAGACTGCAGAATTAAGAAAGGATAAAGAATAGAGGATAGAGCCAATGACGGGCGTGAGAGGGACACTTTAAGTGAACGTCTTAGCGTAGACGAGGCTCACGCTTCAAGTAGGATCTTATCTAGCAGTTGACAACAATTAGTGCATACATGGCTCAATGCGGCGTAAGTTGTCACTGGCCCTGTAAACCCCAAATAAGATTAATCTGTCTAAGGCTCGATTCGGTGTAAGCTGTAACTGGCCCTTAAACCCCGACAAGATTAGTGTGTACTTTCCCAGTGGCTAGGCTAGGCTAGGCAAGGTCTGGCCACGCCTTTGTTCTGGAATTGAATTGGTGAAAAGGGAAGAATGGAATCGACGATAGGAAAGAGGGAAGTAGGCGAAAGAAAAAAGAAAGATATGAATGAAAGATGAGCACGAGAGCCAAGTTTTCTTAGCACTCTCGGTAGGTTCAGAGAAATGCACTTACAGTAGCTTTGTTAAAGATGCTTAATTGCTTGATTGTCGTATGAGATTTAGAAGCATTCACTGTTGAGGCTACCATTGTGTGTGTGTACTCACCTAGTTGTACTCACCTAGTTGAGGTTGCGGGGGTCGAGTCCGAGCTCCTGTGTATGTGTCTGTGTGTATGTGGTGTGTGTATGTGTGTATGTGTGTGTGTGTGTGTGTGTGCATGCGTGCGTGCTTGCAGTACTCGCAGCAGGACTGACAGTGTTCACGTGTCGACTGACGAGATATATATCCCAGTACTAACAACAGTAATAAGTAACTGTAGAATGAGTTTCGCATTCACAATAGCTGTATTTGCTTGAAGGTTGCATAATAATTATTTGTATCTCTTAATCGTTACTACACAGTTGAGAAATGATGCTTCTTTAATATAAGAACAACACAGCCTAGTGAACTTCCATGACACATGAAGATCGTCTGTGAAGGTGATAAATGGGTATAACCCGTCATTTGCTCGACGACCCTGTTTCTGTTAGAATATAGCTAACAAACTGCTGTTATAGTGTCTGCTGCGCGTTCTTCCTCCTTGCCTTCGCAGCAGCAGTAGTTTTTAACGAGTGGTAACATACACTCTGATATATCAGACATCATTGCTTAAGTTTGATTGCGACTGTAGACCATAAAATTATGACATGAGTTGCGAACTGGTTGTAACTGCAGGACCTGGGTTGTGGACCGTGGACTGGTATAGTGACTGTAGCATCCGGCTGTGCCCCCAACATCGTGCTCCTAAGTTCAGTTAGAAATGAATGTTGTTGGTGTCGTTGCTTTAGCTTAGACGCTGCGCTAGACTAAGTCGGTCGTCCCGGGGCCCGGACGAGGGAGCTGCGGCAACACCCAGACACCTCGGCCGCCACATCATATTACTGGCACATCTATGTTGAAGTCATGACCCAACGGGGCGAGCTCGTCGACCCAGCAGGCTGCCATGCTGTTTTCCCGTGTTCATTGAGACTTGCTCTTTTCCCTGGGTTCTCATTGAGCACGAGAACTCTGCAGGCAGGTGCTTAGGTAGGGGGGTGAACGCAGGCTCGTCTGAGGGCTGGAGCTGAGGGCTGTTATCAATGTTTACAACTTCTACGATTCACAAAAAAAGAGAACATGAGATCAGTAAAGAGCCCTCTTTAATGTCTGCATAAGTAGTGAGGGCGTACAAGAGCCTCCTGCAACCCCAGATTGGCTAGCGTTTGACGCCCCGAATTACGCAGGCAGACACCAGCCATCACAGGAAGATGTCATCAGCCTGGAGCCAAGGGCAGCCCAGGGATGGTATGCCATCACCTGCCCTTGTGACACTTTGCAAGTCCACTGTCATTCCTCGTGTTAGCGCTCACAGTTTCTAGAGGCTTAGAGAGAACGGCTGCTTGAAGGGATTAGATGAAACTAGAATGGCATATCTAGACTAACGAAGGAAATAGAAGAGAAAAAAATCTTTCGTTTATAGTCCTTCGGTTTTTTTTTTTTTCAAAATTCTAGGTGTAGATAGTTACATAGTTTAAATAAGCTGTTCTAGACACCAAAGGAATCTGTACATAATACTAGATTTGAAAGTTGCATAGAAACTATGCCTGCTAGATAGCTAGTCGACGACTGATGCTCAACTCGTCTATGCGCACCGGTAAATCCAGCCAGTACAGTCCCCTGTTAATACTTATTTCCTTGTTATTTCATCTTTTTGCACGTTAAAATCCAAGTTATGCACCTTTCCATAATATTTTTTGACTTTTTTACCATTTGGCACAGTCATACGTTCATTCTATGCACCCGATTTAAACTTTTCTTATACAAAGTTTATATACATATATTTACTATTTCTGGTACATTTTTTGTATCAGTTTTTTGTCTTTTTATATTATTATTATTATTATTATTATTATCATTATTATTATTATTCGAATTTACTTCTTTCATTATCCTGTCTATCTGCATTTTGGTGCTAATTATTAACACACTGGCCCGTGCATTTTCTCTGTTATGTTTCTCTTTTTTGCTCGGTGTTATTCTTAATTGCTCTAAAGTACGGGTTTTATTATTAAACCTTTGTTTTCAAGTGTAATTTGCATAACTCAGTTATAATTAGTTTTCGATTCATGCTGCCAAAGTAGACTTATGATTCAACACTTGATTTAGGCTCTTGACTTATAACACAATTCAGGACTCAAGTCAGTTTAGTTAGAGATAAAAATGCGATGAGGAATTGAGTCAGAACGTAAGACCCTAGTTGAAGGCTTAGCAAGCTATGAAGATAAGTCCAGTGTTCCTGGCTGGTTCCCTCTAGCCGATTGGGAGCTGTGTTGTCCGCCTCGATGTGTCTCTCCATCTCCTCCATACACAACTTGCCTGCCTGCCATGCTGCATATGTCTTGTGCAACTACTACACTGACACTAGCGGCCTCATGACGCTGTAATATAGCAGACAGCAGGCGCGCGAGGTGGTGGGCGGGGAGGCAGGAGGTGGCACAGAAGGGGCGGCAGCAACACAGGTCCCTGACGGTGAGCGGCAGCCAGGAGGCGGCAGCTGCTATTGCTGCCGCCTCAGCTACTGAGCCTTATAAGCTGGCACGCTTGGCTCTCCTGGTGATATGGGCGGCTGTAGACGGTGCTTGTGTGGCGTTGCAGTTCTTCCTCCGCCTCAACTACCTGGACATGCACCGCACCTACGGCTGCGCCGCCAACCCCCAGCGCACACGGCCTCTCTGCGACTTTTGCGGCCGAAAGTTCTGTCAGCCTCAGAAACTGAAGGTGCACATCAAGCGAATGCACAGTGGTGAGTGTCGGGGAGGGAAGTCACGGGCAGGGAGGTCACACACACACACACACACACACACACACACACACACACACACACACACACACACACACACACACACACACACACACACATATACACACCCTTGTAAGTAGGGTGAAGAGGATCATCAAGGGGGAACTCGGGTAAAGGGACAGGTGCCCTGGTGCTCGGGTATCCGAAATCCACACGTCAGGGGCCCATAGAGGACGACCCACGGTAAGGGCGCTGGCCAGGGCGGGTGAGGCAGCCACACTCCACACACGCCCACAAATATCAACCAGAAAAAAAAACACTTATGTATAGTCCGCATTAATACACAAAATAAAACCCATGAGTAGTAATATATATATATATATATATATATATTATATATATATATATATATATATATTATATATATATATATATATATATATATATATAAAACAGTATGTGCAAAAAACAGTATGTGAAAAAATAACAGTATGTTAAAAAATAGTGAAATTCCAAGCACTTTCGTGATTTCTGACATTAACATTCCTTGATAATATGAGAAAATATGAAAGCGCTTGGAATTTTACCATTTTTTTCACTGTGGTTACTTTGCATATTGTGGTATCACCTGTTTACTGAGATCTTATTGAATAGCAGTATGTATATTAAGTCAAAATATGATTAAAGTAGAAAAAATTCCTGAAGGAGGTTTGGAGGGGGTAGTGGCCGCTCGTGCGCCGCCCTGGTCAAGCCACACCTACTACACTAGCGGAGCGTCTGGGCAGGGAGTGGCGGCGGAGGGGGCGCACCCACTACTCATCTTCACCCCTCATTGAAGAGGACACCTGCCACCTCAGTCAGCCTTGTGGGCACCCCAGACCTGCCGCCCTCCAGTGGTCAGACACTCACTCTTATCCTGACGTTGGTCTCTCCTTTTCTCTCTCTCGTGTGGCTGTGTGTGTGTACGTCATTGTAATGTGTGTGTGTGTGGGTGGGTGTTGGGTGTGTATGCGTGTGTGTACCACGAGCAGTTCTTCTTGCGGCTACACTCGCTGGACATGCACGTCACGTACTCCTGCAGCCGCAACCCGGCCCGAGTCTTCCCCCTCTGCGACTACTGCGGCAAGAAGTTCTGCCAGCCGCAGCATCTGCGCTCTCACCAGAAGCGCATGCACGCAGGTAAGTGACCGGGGGGGAGGGCAATGCCCGGGCTTCTAACACCTCAGTCACCTGTTAACAAGGAACACCATATGTAACAGCGACAGAGTTCAGATTTTCGCTGCTCCTGATGCACGCAATACCTCAAATTTTAAACCTTTTTTTGCAATATATATATTTTTTCTCTCTGCACATTGATGTCATCATTTTTTAAGTCTATAATAAAAAGCTGGGTATAACACTGGGCTGACATTGGAAATTCCATTTCACTATTTCACTGGTATTTACATTTTATATTACTAAATGCATGATACATGTTCAGTGTTTTAAATTCTGACAAAATTTTCTAATCATTTTTCCAGCAGACGACAATAAGTGCTCATATATATATATATATATATATATATATATATATATATATATATATATATATATATATATATATATATATATATATATATATATATATATATATATACCGATGGACTTGTCTCTTAAAAATCGAAATCGTAGGACTAGGATAATTAAATGTGTTATTTGTTTGTAAGATTAACGTTTCGTACTTGAATCGTCGCATCTTCAGAATCTGTCGAAGTTAAAAGAATAAAAAAAAATATATATTGCTCAAGTGTAAATCGCCTGAGGAGGGTCGCCATAAAGTGACGACCCTCTGAGGATGGTGACGCTGAGAGAACCCAGTGGAAATATTGGCAGGTAACATAACTGTTGGCCACTGCAACACAAGCTCCAGCTGAGCATTGAAATCCTCCTTTTTTTACCCCAAATAAGTGCCGGCACTGGAAATTAAACATCGTCAGAACTGTTTATTCATTTCGTAAAGTTAGGTTAAGAGAGTTTTCACATATATCCGCAGATTGTAAATTTGATTTTAAGATGTCATCTCAGCTACTTCTTGTTTCCTAATTCTCTAGTGGCGTGATCAGGTAAATTCTTAGCTCATATGAGCTATAATATCAAACCAAAGAGGGGATAGTCTACCATTAGTGGTTCCCAGGGGTCAACGCCCCCCGCGGCCCGGTCCCAGACCAGACGTCGTGATGGGAGAGACCCGATACATTAAGACGTCATGATTGTGAAGTCATACTATGGGAACTAGCAAAAAGGGACACGTACGGTCAGTCGCTAGACTAGACTTAAACACCAAGTCTGTGACACAGTGTCTAGGCCACACACATGAAACTACACAAATATAAAATATATCAAGTAACGAATGAAGTCAAAAATTATATAATGTTGGCTAATATTCTGCCAAATTCAATAGCAGATAATTCTAGACACATTAGAGTTATAATAATAAAATTATATACCTAAAATATTACACGCAAACCCTTTATGTTATATACACATAACCTTTAATAGTCTAGCTTTTGTAGTATAAGTAAAATGAGGGTATTTAACAAAAGCAAGCAAGCCTAATTAATATACAATAACAAGCCTGTTTTGCTATATCTCCTCTTTAAAATTCTTTCAAAAAGCACTTAACGTACGTACATAAAAGTTAAGATACACTTAATCTCAGAGTTGTCACGGGGTGTACCTTAATTATGGCACCTTTATTATGGCACCTTTATTAGGGTACCTTAATCATGATACATTTATCTTGGTACATTTATTATGGTGCGAAATTGGTTTCCGCAGTGACTGTAATGGTGTTTGAGGAGCAGTGTTAGTCTCGCTCTCATATCATGGAAACTATTATACCGATCGTTATGAAACTCACATGAAGAAGGGGGACTGCAACATTTTAAAACTTAAATAAGCTTCATTATCCTTGTTTATTTAATAAATTCAACAAATGTTTCAGCAGCAATGAGAACCTATCTTTAGAAAAATACACAGGGGCTGAAAATTTTGGTATAAGAATGGAGGAGCACTGCAGCAGGCCTACTGGCCCATACTAGGTAGGTTTTTATCAGGATTATTCTCCAGGTTATCACGCAAACACCAATAATCCTCATCTTTTATGTTATAAGATTGGCACCTACACAGTCTAATAACACTGCAAATCTTCCTCTAAGTAAAATAAATACATTAGAGGTGAAAGTTTTAAGCCGAGCAGAAGAGGCATTGTCAAGTTATCGAATGGAGATCTTGGAGGAAGAGAAAAAAAACATCCCATAACTTTTAAAGGTATATCCCTTCTGGGGATACCTAATTATGTAAAGTTTTATTTGCATGGAATAATTAGGTATCCTCTTAAAGGGAATGCATATACTCACTGGATTATTCTTTTTTTTTATTTATTCTTTCTTCAAGGATCAGTACGATGCCTGGCCTGGCCTGGTCATGGACCGGGCCTTGGGGGGCGTTGATCCCCGGAACTCCCTCCAGGTCCTGACTCACGAAACCGTAATAATACGATTCCAAACAAACCCTCCAGGTATACTTCATGTATACCTTGAGAATGTCAGGTCGGATCGGCTTCAAATTTTCAACCATAGTTAACGGATGGTTCGGATCACTTTAGACTTTACTAGTTGCCAATTTCCTAAAATCAGTTAATTTTTTTTCCTAGTGTTGTATATTGGAATTACGAGGAAGTGAAAATTTAGCAATATTCGACCTTATTGAAGCTGTTCCTTCCCTACCCTGGGTCAGTCCTGACGACTTGTCATGCCTCAGGTGTTGTATTGGCCCCTGTGGGTTTATTGCCACGCTATGAAGATATTAATGTTATTTCCCCCAATGATTTATGTTACGACAGGTATATACACGGTTATTTCTCAGTGTAGGTACGCTGAGACATCTGCTTCTTAGTGTATGTACACTGAGAGATGTTTCTCAGTGTATGTACATTGAGAGATGTGTTTCTCAGTGTATGTATGCTGAGAGATGTGTTTCTCAGTGTATGTACGCTGAGAGATGTGTTTTTCAGTGTATGTACGCTGAGAGATGTATTTGTCAGTGTATGTACGCTGAGAGATGTGTTTCTCAGTGTAGGTACGCTGAGAGATGTGTTTCTCAGTGAATGTACGCTGAGAGATGTGTTTCTCAGTGTATGTACGCTGAGAGATGTGTTTCTCAGTGTAGCTACGCTGAGAGATTTTATTTTCAGTGTAGCTACGCGAGAGATGTTTTCTCAGTGTAGGTACGCTGAGAGATGTGTTTCTCAGTGTAGGTACGCTGAGAGATGTGTTTCTCAGTGTAGGTACGCTGAGAGATGTTTCTCAGTGTAGGTACGCTGAGAGATGTGTTTCTCAGTGTAGGTACGCTGAGAGATGTTTCTCAGTGTAGGTACGCTGAGAGATGTGTTTCTCAGTGTAGCTACGCCGAGAGATGTTTCCCAGTGTAGGTACGCTGAGAGATGTGTTTCTCAGTGTAGGTACGCTGAGAGATGTGTTTCTCAGTGTAGGTACGCTGAGAGATGTGTTTCTCAGTGTAGGTGCGCTGAGAGATGTTTCCCAGTGTAGGTACGCTGAGAGATGTTTCCCAGTGTAGGTACGCTGAGAGATGTGTTTCTCAGTGTAGGTACGCTGAGAGATGTGTTTCTCAGTGTAGGTACGCTGAGAGATGTGTTTCCCAGTGTAGGTACGCTGAGAGATGTGTTTCTCAGTGTAGGTACGCTGAGAGATGTGTTTCTCAGGTGTAGGTACGCTGAGAGATGTGGGTTTTTCAGTGTAGGTACGCTGAGAGATGTGTTTCTCAGTGTATGTACGCTGAGAGATGTGTTTCCCAGTGTAGGTACGCTGAGAGATGTGTTTCTCAGTGTAGGTACGCTGAGAGATGTGTTTCTCAGTGTAGGTACGCTGAGAGATGTGTTTCCCAGTGTAGGTACGCTGAGAGATGTGTTTCCCAGTGTAGGTACGCTGAGAGATGTATTTCCCAGTGTAGGTACGCTGAGAGATGTGTTTCCCAGTGTAGGTACGCTGAGAGATGTGTTTCTCAGTGTAGGTACGCTGAGAGATGTGTTTCTCAGTGTAGGTACGCTGAGAGATGTGTTTCTCAGTGTAGGTACGCTGAGAGATGTGTCTCAGTGTACATACGCTAAGATACTGTGTCAGTGGCTGCCCTCATAAAAATAACACTTTAAACCTTAACTTAGGATAATGTCATCATCCCGGTACATCTCTGCTATAATGATTTTCAAAGACACTAAAGAACCATGTTTACATAGCAATCATATCATTGTTTTCATTTTATTTTACATTTGTTGCATAAGCTTTTCAAATTCTCATGTTAGTTGATAAGGCTTATATATATATATATATATATATATATATATATATATATATATATATATATATATTATATATATATATATATATATATATCCCAATAGAGAAGACAAAGATAGTACTGTATATTTCGGTCTCACACTGAAGGTCTCTTCAGGAGACTAAAACATAGAATGAAGAAATCAGTCATAACTGACTCCAGGATTCTGCATGTATACACATACGCCTTTTCTATGTGTACTCGAAATAGCTTCACAGCTATCAGTATAGTTATTGTTCTTAACCTGCAGGAAAACTGATCGATTTCATTCAGCCTGTTTATAATAATAATTGATCTGTTGTTTTTAGTGGCTCTGGTGGTTAAATTTGTACCTTGGCCTAAAGACCTAGATGGGAATCCATGAATGTTGTCCTTGCAAGGAATGTCATTGGTTGCGGTTTAGAAGTGGTTGGCGTCTTCGAGTTTAACACCTCTCCTTAATGATGATCTGGAAAATAATTTAAGCTTTCTAAGAAATTATCGAACTTCCTCCCTCTCCCCCCTTCATCGTAACTCTTACTTGTGAGTAGTAATGTCATTAACCTATCTCTCCATTGCTGTGTCTTAAGGATAGAGTATTGGTATTAGTATATAATTTTTAAGGTGGTCTGTGTTAAGACTGGAGAGTACTGGTGATAGGTAAGCCTGAATAGTACTGGTGGTAGGTAAGACTGAATAGTACTGGTGGTGGGTAAGGCTGGATAGCATTGGTGATAGGCTGAATAGAACTGGTGATAGTCAAGCTGGACAGGATTATTGATAGTTAACACTAGATAGGACCGGTGATAGAGGGTTGCCTACAATACACCTCTCCTGGAGAAAGTATTCATCGGGATAGCATGGCAGTAAAAATACAGAGCGTGGTGGATAAATTAGTGTGTGCTACACTTGGGTATCTTAATTGTGGAAACGTTTTGCCACACAGTTTGAGTTTGAGGTAATCAATCCCTCAGCCTGGAGTCGATGTAATCAGGTTGTACATGAATGGTATATAATACCTACAAGGTGCAGATTTCGTAAAGCCACTGGACGGCTAAACGTCTACAAATAAAGATACCCAGATATTGCACATGTGTCTAACTTATCAAGCTGTCGGTTCTCTGAACCATTCATCTACACAGAGGTTGGTAAACACTGTCAGGTTTCGGGTTTTGGAAGCCATACCTTCCAGTATTATTCTGCCATTGTTTATCGCAAGATCAGGATGCTGAGAGACACTTGAGGAACACAAGAGTTTACGTGACAGTGATTACGGTGATAATAAAAATATCTCAGGAGAAGACATAAAGTATTAATTTATCATTACTGTGTTGCATAGCCGGAGTTGCATTGTTCTTTATGCAACTTAGCTAGTGAAAGATGAATGTATATGAGAATTTGTTGGTGAAAGACGAATGTATCTGAGAATTTGTTTTTGACGGCAGTTCTTCGAGAGATTATAAGAGTCCGTTAAAAAAAATGGTAGGCTTGGATTAGTAACTTTGAGTTTTAGGCAGTCTCATTATCTTTTTTTTTTCTTTTTTTTTGGGGGGGTGGGGGTCTGTTTCATAGTTTTTTGGATTTTTTCCTTTTTTGAATAATTTCTTTCTTTTTTTTTTTTGGCTTTTTTGTTATTTTTCTTACTTTTTCGATATTTTTATTTTGGCTATTCTTCTTAATTTATTGGATATTTTTCTTGCTTTTTTGGATATTTATTTACGTTTTTGGTTATTTTCTTACTTTTTGGATATTTCTCTTATCTTTTGGCTATTCTTAATTTTTTGGAATTTTTCTTGCCTTTTTTAATATTTTTCTTTTTTGGTTATTTTTCTTACTTTTTTCTATATTTTTCGTACTTTTTTGGATGTTTTTCTTGCTCTTTTAGCTATTTTTGTTACCTTTTAACACTGTTTCTTTCTTGGATGTTTTTTATTATTTTTTGGCTATTTTTCTTACTTTTTTTCCTTAGTTTCTTGCCACGTTTCTCACATTTTCATTAAAATCTTCACTCACGCTAGCTAAAAGATCGCCGATAAATGCTTCCTCGTTGTCACTAATGTTTTTTTGAGGATTTTTTCCACTTTTTGGTATTAATATCCTTCAAAAGGGCTTCTGGTCATCGCTATTTGACCCATATATGTTTAGTCTTTTTTTATGTACATATATCGTTTTTAGTGGTAACGTTGTGGACAACTCTTGTTTCGGAAGCAGCGAGATTCCTGCAGTGTTATTCACATTTTCTGCTGGGTAACTCTCTACTAAAGTTTTTGTTAGAAATAACGTAGATCTCGGTGTTTTGCTCTTCAAATAAGCTGTCTCTGCTGAAAAGGACCTCGGGTGAGGCATAGATATACAGTACTGTTTTTACCGCCTGTTTTACATATATATATATATATATATATATTATATATTATATATATATATATATATTATATTATATATATTATATATATATATATACATGTGTGTGTGTAAATTTATGAATGATGTATGATTTTGTGATGCTGTTGCTGATGGTCATGGTAGTGGTGGTGATGATGGTAGTAGTGGTGACGGTAATAATATTGCTGACAGAGGCAGTAATGATGGTTTGAGTGGTAGGCATGATAGTGACAGTGGTGATAGTGTTGAGAGTGGTGGCGGTGGTAGTGTTGAGAGTGATGGCGGTGTAGTAGTGAGGGTGATGGTAATGGATAGTGATGGTAGTCTTGGTAGTAGTAGTAGTATTTTGTAGTAGTGGTGGTATAGTAGTAGTAGTAGTAGTAGTAGTAGTAGTAGTAGTAGTAGTAGTAGTAGTAGTAGTAGTAGTAGTAGTGGGGATACTGATATTGATTGCTGTTGTAAGTATTGTGGTGGTTGTGGTTACAAGCATGGCGGAAGTTGTGGTGACAGTCATGTTGGTGATAGTACTGGTAATCGCGGTAGTATTCACTGAGATGATAGTGAGGGGTGATGGTGACAGTGAGGGTGATGGTGATAGTTGTGGTAGTACGGAGAGCAACGGACATGTTAATAATATTCCTGTTGATAGAGTGTTAGGAGAGTGTAAATACTTGGATTAGTGGTAGGCATAGTTATGGTGATAGTAGTGTGTTAGTAGTGGTGATAGTTATGGTATTTGTAGTGGTGATAATTATAGTGTGGGTCGTGGGGATAGTTATGGTGTATTAGTGATGTTAGTGGCCACACTGTTAAGTAGCGGGGATATGTAGTGCTGGTAGTGGTGATAGTGAGGTGGTGGCAGTGACAGAAATAGAGGTAAGATGGTCATAATGATAGTGAGGATGATGGTGATAGAGGTATAACAGTGATGATGTTGATAGTGAAGATATCCCAAGACTATAAATAAAATATTAATTCATCCAATAATATAACTTTACATTCTCCAGATATTCTCGTCTTTCCTATATTACTAACTTAATATACAGGATATATATATACATGGTATACTTGGTATATATTTCATATATAAAACATATATTTAACACTATTTTATATTTGTATGTCCATCATTTGATATATATATATATATATATATATATATATATATATATATATATATATATATATATATATATATTATATATATATATATATATATATATGCGATGAAAATTCGTAATAAAAGACTGTAAGAATTGAATGAAATGATCGGGATTTGAACCGAGGTACTGAGGTCACCATCTCGTTGTCTTAGCCACTGAGGTCACAAGTCATCAGTGATTAATTAAAGTCCTACGGCCAGAATACTGCACTGGGAACTGTGAAGAAAAGACACGTTTCAGAACAGGCTTCGATTGAGAAATCGTTTCGCTCTGTGTGGAGCTTCGTTACGTCATGGCTTGATAAAGCTCTGCAAAGAATGAAGCGCTTTCTTCACTATCGTGGCGCTACGACATTAACATTAAACTTAGTGAGCATTGACAAGTTACTTGGAGGCAACAATAACTAAAACTAGTCACTGTCTGCTGGTAAGGTCGGGGTTTCTCTGTCGGGACTCGTGGTCGGGTTCCGGTTTGTGGGAATCACCAGCCTGCCCAGTACTGCAGCTCGTACACTTTTATGAAGCTCTGTGGTGGCAGTGACTAAGGTAGCGAGCTGGTAAACCCAGGTCGTGAGTTCGAATCCTCATTACTCCATTGAAATGTTACATTCTTAAACCTTCACCAATACCAACACATTCACCAACAAGCCTTTCCCACCAAAACAACCTCTACCAACACAACCACCATCAACACAAACTCCACTACCACCCCCAAAACAGAATGGAGACCAATGTTGGAAGGCCATCGAGTGGAAAAGGGAGATCATACCATGCGATGGCCATAACCAAGACCACGTGGGAGGAAGCCTCCCGTGGCTTACCCATCAGATTGCAAGAATACCGTGTGTGCAGAACTCACAGCAACACCTGCGTGATACACCGGAGAGACAAACCAGAATTGACACCTATTGAAGGAGAATAAGGCACAATACAGTGACGGGAACAGTACACAAATAACTCGTACATAGGAGAGAGAAAGAGAAACTTACGACGACATTTCTGAAACATCGTCGTAAGCTCCTCTCTCCTGTGTGCGGGTTATTTATGTATTGACATCTAATGTCTTGAAAAGGCTCCCAGCTGGTCATCAAGGAACGAAGCACAATGTAGATGATGCTTGTAAGCTACACTGACCTGTACACAAGAGACTCGTGGAGCTTCCAGTTTAGGCAAACCTTCAGCCCAACTTTTCCTGCATAAATGGATCATCGAAAGGAGCGGCAGACCTCCCGAAGTGCTGCCATCTAGCAGTCAGCCCGCACAGTGACCTCACTGACCCGGCCATTCACCTAACAACGCTCTCATAAATCTACATGTAGTCCATCCCTGTGTACTGATGGAAGAAGCTAGTGCAGAGGAACAGTGAAGAGAGTTCCTCTCTACGAACTGTGACTGTATTCTCCAATAAAACAACCTCCACAACCACCACCACAAACCACTGCCACAACTATCACTACCACCACAATTATCACCAACATCACCACCACCATCTCTACCACCAACAGACACATCCCTCTCATCTTTACCTAACCACTGCATTCATAAATGCTTGTCTGTCATGTAAGAATAACATTTTATATGTAAATGAAGAGATATAGAGAGAGGGAGAGAAGATAGTAATGGTATTATTCCCGCGACACAGACATGGCTGAGGTGCTGAGGGAGTTTCAGTGTAAGCTGTGTTTCAAAGTCCTGGGATCAAGAGCCGCTCTTCAGAGACATCTGAAGGAAGTCCACCATAAGGTGAGTTGTGTATAGGGAAGCCAGGTGCTGATTCACCTGTCTCTTTAACCCCAGGTGAGTTGTGTGTGGGGAAGCAAGGTGCTGATTCACCTGTCCCCTGAACCTCAGGTGAGTTATGTATTGAGAGTCAGGTGCTGACTCTCACTCGTTCCTTTGCCCTTTCACTTAATTTAATCAGATGGAAAGGAATGTCAAAACTATGATTACGTAACTCAAGTGGTCAGTCAGTCAGTCAGTCAGATATATGAAAAAGTGTCTCCTATATTTATATATATGAGTTGTCGGATAATTAAACTCGCTGGGAGACCTTTATTGTCGTTTATTCTTGAAAAATGTGATATTTAAATATACACAATAAATTCTACTTGTGTCAGTAAAGTTGAAAATGTTCTTTTGTGAGTGTTTATATTCCGTTGAGGATAATACCTCAAGTTTACCCAGTCCCGGTAATATCAGCTGACTTCTTACTTCACACAGGTCACCTGGTGACTTCACCCTGTTATTGTAAAAGCAATTATCTCCTTAACACCTACTTTGCTAAGATGGTCACATTTAAAGGCCGAAATATTTAGTTTCTGCTGCTCTTCCTTCACACACACAATATATATATATATATATATATATATATATATATATATATATATATATATATATATATATATATATATATATACAGTGGATCCTCGAATTTAGTCGTGCCTTTTCTGTATGCAAAACTATTTTTATTATCTATAAAATGTATTTTTTGTTAATATTTTTGGGTGTCTGGAATGGTTTAATTGGATTTACATTGTTTCCTATGCTACACAATGGTTTAGAAAGACACGAAAGCAAACACTATGATATATTTATTAGAAAACGTTTCGGTCCTGGGACCTTGATCACTTCTAACATACAGAGGTAGAAAGACATTATATATATAGGCGGAGAGTGAGATGTGACGCACGTGACCTGAGGAATGTCATAAGAACATAAGAATGGAGGAACACTGTGGAAGGCCTACTGGCCCATGCGAGGCAGGTCCTTATCAAAACAACCTCTACCTATGATGAGGACGGGTAGACGATGAAATCATGTGACTCCTGTGTTGTTGGGTTGGTGCTGCTTAAGTATCATGTATGCCAATGTTTTTGAAATTTTGTAGTTTCCAGTGTTGCGTTCTATAGTGTCGGTGACGGCGATTAGTGAGGCTTCTAGGCACCGTCGGCGTCTGAGGTCTGGTTCGGTGAGAACGAGTTGTGCCTCATTCCAGCTCATCAAATGCCCCGTGGAGTCTCTGTGGAGGACACAGGCGTACCTTACATCGTCTCTGTTAGAGGCATTTCGATGCTCATTCAGGCGGACTGCAAGATCTCTGCCTGTCTCGCCTACATATTTCTTGGGACAGAACCCACAGGGGATAGTGTAGACGTCTGCTGTAGAAGTTAGAGGTGTGGGGCTGCGTTTCGTAGTGGGGTCTTTGATAGATGATGTGTTTATGGTGGAAACGTTAATGTTACTCATAGCAAGTGCCCGGCGAGTATTCGTGGCAACATTATTATTATTATAATCATGGGGAAGCGCTAAACCCGGAGGATTATACAGCGCCTGGATTCGTGGCAACATCACCACATGGGAGTACTATGAACTGCTTAGGGGGCTGTTCCATGGGCGGTTTGTTGAGGATAGCTTGTGCCTTGAGTCTGCAATCTCGGATGAAGAAAGATGGGAACTGAAGACGTGTAAAGGCTTGTGTTATGTAAGTGCATTCTTCTTCTAGAAAACAAGGGCTGGAGATGCGAAGAGCTCTCAAGAAGAAGCCAATGTGAAGATGCGAAGAGCTCTCAAGAAGAAGCCAATGAGGACTCCTCTCTTAGTGCGGGTGTCTTGGTGTGAATAAAAGTGCATAAGATCGTCCTTGTTGGTAGGTTTTCTATACACTTTGAAGAGAAGTTTGTCACTGTCGGGAGATCTGCACAGTAGAACGTCGAGGAAAGGAAGTTTGCCATTATTTTCGAGTTCAAGTGTAAACTTTATTGATGGTTCAACTGCATTGATCTTGTTGAGAAGGGCCTGGATATTGAGACGTCTCGGATAGAAAACCAATATATCATCAACGTATCTTAGCCAGGTAACGGTGTTGGGAATGAAGGTGCTGAATTTCTCTGTCTCCAGGTTTTCCATGAAGAGGTTGGCAAGCACAGCACTGAGCGGGCAGCCCATTGCCATCCCAAAGCACTGTTTGTAACAGTTGTCCTGATACTTGAAGAAGTTGAAATTAACACAAAGTTCCACTAGATTGATGAAATCTAGAAGAGGTAAAGGGAGGTCGTGGTTTTCAGGGAGCCTCTGTCTCAGAATGTTGATTGCAGCGTCAGTAGGAAGGTTAGTAAAGAGGGCTGTGACATCGAAGGAAGCCATGCTTTTGTTTTTGACATTCAGGATGTTGCCACGAATACTCGCCGGGCACTTGCTATGAGTAACATCAACGTTTCCACCATAAACACATCATCTATGAAAGACCTCACTACGAAACGCAGCCCCACACCTCTAACTTCTACAGCAGGCGTCTACACTATCCCCTGTGGGTTCTGTCCCAAGAAATATGTAGGCGAGACAGGCAGAGATCTTGCAGTCCGCCTGAATGAGCATCGAAATGCCTCTAACAGAGACGATGTAAGGTACGCCTGTGTCCTCCACAGAGACTCCACGGGGCATTTGATGAGCTGGAATGAGGCACAACTCGTTCTCACCGAACCAGACCTCAGACGCCGACGGTGCCTAGAAGCCTCACTAATCGCCGTCACCGACACTATAGAACGCAACACTGGAAACTACAAAATTTCAAAAACATTGGCATACATGATACTTAAGCACCACCAACCCAACAACAGAGGAGTCACATGATTTCATCGTCTACCCGTCCTCATCATAGGTAGATGTTGTTTTGATAAGGACCTGCCTCGCATGGGCCAGTAGGCCTTCCATAGTGTGATGAATGGTTTAAAAAACCGACAAGTTGAAGATTGAGACACTTATGCAGCATATGGGAATCTTTATTCAGGAAACGTTTCGCCACACAGTGGCTTCATCAGTCCAATACAAAGAGGAAGGCGTAAGGAGAGGAGGAGTATGAGGTAATCAGTCCCTCAGCCTGGAGTCGATGTGTTCAGTCCATCAATCTTGTAGAATGTACAGCATAGGGCCGTAGACGTGGCTTATATATAAGTATATAAGCCACGTCTACGGCCCTATGCTGTACATTCTACAAGATTGATGGACTGAACACATCGACTCCAGGCTGAGGGACTGATTACCTCATACTCCTCCTCTCCTTACGCCTTCCTCTTTGTATTGGACTGATGAAGCCACTGTGTGGCGAAACGTTTCCTGAATAAAGATTCCCATATGCTGCATAAGTGTCTCAATCTTCAACTTCCACAGTGAACATTAAAATGGTATAAAATACCGACAGATTGTTAGGTAAGACACATATGCAACAGTTAGGTATCTTTATTTCGAAACGTTTCGCCTACACAGTAGGCTTCTTCAGTCGACTGAAGAAGCCTACTGTGTAGGCGAAACGTTTCGAAATAAAGATACCTAACTGTTGCATATGTGTCTTACCTAACAACTTCCACAGTGTTCCTCCATTCTTATGTACTTATGACATTCCTCAGGTCACGTGCGTCACACCTCACTCTCCGCCTATATATATATATGTCTTTCTACCTCTGTATGTTAGAAGTGATCAAGGTCCCAGGACCGAAACGTTTTCTAATAAATATGTCATAGTGTTTGCTTACGTGTCATTCTAAACCAACTTGTCGGTATTTATTACCAAGGTTTATACCATGCTACACAATACGAATGAGTGTGTGCACGCTTGATGGACGACAGGTTCTTAAAAGGCACAGTGAAAGCTTTATTAGTTGACGGGGAAACACACACAACAGTGAAAAATAAATCACAGAGAACACAGTCGGGTCATAGATTTGTCACTTGCTCTCTGCATTCGTCACTGCAACTTTGCGCCCTGGGTATGCAGTGTCCCACAATGAAACTACAGAGTATTTCACTCGTAGGAGGCCCCGAGTTAGTATTCCCGTGGTTGCAACTGTCTTGTTTGTATATCTGTAGTAAACTATAACTCGGGGACTCTAACGAGTGAAACACCCTGAGTATCCTCGCTTTTCATTATGTAACGAGAGAAGCGAGTCAGTTGGCTCTTTTCATTCGTCACTAATTTTGGCAGGCACAGCCACAAACTACAATAATTTGCAAAGGCAATATGCACGCTGCACAGCGCTGGAAATATTTTCCATCGGTGAATCGCTGGTTCACAGTGCCGTCACAACACTATTAATGACTCGCCATTCTTCATGACACTGTTACTACTTCACTGTGCCTTACAGCATTATTTAAGAGTGCCTTACAACGTTGTTTTACAGTATCTTACAACACTGTGACACTGGTTTACTGTGCTTCACAATATTATATTAATGATGGAAAATCCCTGGGTCGTAGCTTCTCACCACCCTGAATTACTGGTTGATTTATTGGAGCAGGAGGAAGGGGGATTATTTGGCTGATGCTGGATGTTCCCTGGCCATGATCTGACCATCCAGTGGTTGGCCACTGGGTGGCCAACCACTGAGCGACGACGAGCAACAACCAACCCATGATGTTGATTGGTTACCAAAGGCCCTTTAAAACAACCCATCACTGTCATGTGTGCTTCACCGGCACGCCGGATATACCTAATGAACGACGTATATCTTCCAGCAGCTGCTTGATAGAAAGAAGCCTGGCGCCCCATTGCTTTACCGGCTAATTATTTTCTCTTATCTCGATGGCTCCCCAGGAAAAAGCGTGACACATCATCAGCAAATTATGGTTTGCTTGAGCAACCAGTCGTGGTTGAGCAACTCAGCGGCTGTTCCAGGGAAAATCTAGGATGGCCACTGCCTAAATAAGACTTGCTTAACCAGCCAATTGTCTTCTTCAAAAAAATGTATGAGAATGAAATATAAGAAGCACGAAGAAATAATTTAAAATGGAACTTTCTGGGTCTAAGGGAGTCCTATATTGTCTTTTGGTGTATTTGTAGTAGTCTGGCGTCCTGTGTTGTCCTGGGTATCTTCTCTTTTTTTGTTCTTATATTTATTGTGGTTATCTGTTGTCCCTTGGTGTCTTTTGGTTTCTTAGGTCCTTCTCTCTTTTCAGCATCCTCTTTTGTTCACGTCTCTTCAGGCATCTACTAATTGAGTCTTCTGGCTACCTCTCAGACTACTGCCTACTGCTTTGTGCAGCAAGGTTATATATTACACTGTGTTGGTTGCAGGATGGTACCGCCGGTTAGTATCTAAACGCTGGTTGTTGGTTGCAGGACCTGAGTACGGGAGCCACTTGTGACCGCTGTGGCAAGATGTTCCAGAACAAGAGTAACCTGAAAATCCACATGCTTACTCACTCCGGCGTCAAGCCCTTCAAGTAAGTCAGGTTAAGAAATATAAACACATAAGCAGTATAATGTGATCCTTTATTGACAACGTTTCGCCCACGCAGTGGGCTTTATCAAGTCACAAACAGATCTACCTGGGTGAAAGATACGTGAATATTTATAGGATGAGAATGCTGGGTCAGGTGGAGAATGCTGCATGTTCTAATCTTCCGAGTAGGGTGATAGAGTCTAGAACCTTGGGTAACTTTGAAAAGAGATTGGATAAGTATATGAGTAGGCCTTCTGCAGTGTTCCTCCATTCTTATGTTCTTATGTGGAATAGCGATGAAGTTTCTTGGCAAGGGGTTCAGCTATGTTATAGAAGCCGTTGTTCTGGATGAAGTTGTTGGATGTACAGATTAGAGATGATTCCAGGATTCTTCGGTATTAAGTGCTGTCTTCTCTAGCATAAAGTCTTGCGTTTCTGTAGTTGATTAAATGGTTGTGTGAATTTCGGTGATGAACACAGGCATTCCTTGGATCGTCAGATCTGCTTGTGTACTGTTGTTCCGAAATACGTGTTTGGAGGTCTCTGGATGTTTCGCCGATGTATAATTTGCTGCAGTCATTATAATTACATCACGTTTAGTTTTGGTGTCGTGGTGAGAGTAGAAGTGGAGAAGATCGTGTTGGTTGGTAGGTTTTCGATAGACTTTAAAACGAAGTTCATGGTTAATTTTGCAGAGAAGAACATCGAGGAAAGGAAGAGTGTTGTCGACTTCTTCTTCTAGTGTGAACTGGATAGAGGGCTCGACCTGTAATAGACAGGACAAGCTTCAATCCTCTGCAGGGGTATACATAATCCCTTGTAATGACTGCAGTAAATTATACGTCGGCGAAACATCCAGAGACCTCCAAACAAGTATTTCAGAACGCCGGTACGCAGGCAGTCTGACGATCCAAGGAATGCCTGTGTTCAACACCAAAATTCACACAACCATTTAATCAACTACAGAAACCCAAGACTTATCGCCAGAGAAGACAACACTCAATACCGAAGAATCCTGGAATCATCACTTATCCAACAACTTCAACCAGAATAACGGCTTCTATAACATAGCTGAACCCCTTGCCAAGAAACTTCATCGCCATCCCACATAAGAACATAGGAATGGAGGAACACTGCAGAAGGACTACTCATATACTTATCTAATCTCTTTTCAAAGTTACCCAAGGTTCTAGACTCTATCACCCTACATGCAGCATTCTCCACCTGACCCACAATTCTCATCCTATAAATACTCACGTATCTTTCACCCAGGTATATATATGTATATATTTCGTTACCCAGGTAGATCTGTTTGTTGATAAATTAGACACATGTGCAACTCTTGGGTATCTTTATTGAGGAAACGTTTCGCCACACAGTGGCTTCATCAGTCCATACATAGGAGAAACTTGAAGAACAGGAGGAGAATGAGGTAATCAGTCCCTCAACCTTGAGTCGATGTGTTCAGTCCATCTACTCAAGATTGATGGACTGAACACATCGACTCAAGGTTGAGGGACTGATTACCTCATTCTCCTCCTGTTCTTCAAGTTTCTCCTATGTATGGACTGATGAAGCCACTGTGTGGCGAAACGTTTCCTCAATAAAGATACCCAAGAGTTGCACATGTGTCTAATTTATCAACATGTCGGTTCTCTGAACCATTCATCTACAAAGATCTGTTTGTGTCTTGATAAAGTCCACTGCGTGGGCGAAACGTTGTCAATAAAGGATCACATTATACTGCTTATGTGTTTATATTTCCATTGTGTCGGTATTTTATACCCTCTATTTCCATGTCAGGTTAAGCTCCTGAAGTTGGAGGGTAGGTTAGCAGGTCGGGGGCAAGGCTTGATGAATCGAGAGTCTGGGGTCAGATAATAAGCCAACGTCTTATAGTCAGAAGTTGCAGATATTGCTTACTCATTAATGATTATTTTGCCATGCAAGCAGAGCTAATATTAATTTTAGCTATTACTGCTCAAATTGTAAAAATTACATTATGTATTTACTTAAGTCAGGATTAATCACTGTTAATAAAAAAAAAAGGCACAATACCGTGACTGGAACGATACACAAATAACCCGCACATAAAAGAGAGAATCTTACGACGACGTTTCGGTCCGACTTGGACCATTTACAAAGTCACACTAACCAGAAGTGGAGCAGGACGGCTATATATAGGCAGGGAGAGGTGGTGATAGTAGTAGTAGTACAAGAATGGTATATAATACCTACAAGATGAAATTAAGACACATGCGCAACACCCGGGCATCCCCATCGTAGACGTTTCGCCATCCAGCCAGCCACTGGATGGCGAAACGTCCACAACAAAGACAACCAGACGCCGCACATGTCTTAATTTCATCAGTAGTTGTGTGACTTTATCAATGGTCCAAGTCGGACCGAAACGTCGTCGTAAGCTTCTCTCTTTTATGTGCGGGTTATTTGTGTATAATCACTGTTACGTAAACTGTTAAGCCATGCAAGGTTATTCATGAATATATCTATCGGTCCATAAGAAAAAATATTTAACTAATGTATTTTTATTAAAATTTGCCTTTTAACCACTCATTAAATAAAGCACGAGCATACATTAACACGTCATAACCTTAGTGTGCTAATTTGTTCCCAGGTGTATTGAGGCGAGTTGTAACGCAGCCTTCACAACCAAACAGTGTCTACAGTTCCACTACAAGAAAGTACATGGTTACACCTGCGAGAGCATGCCAACCATAGAACGTTGTATCCCCTACACCTTTGACTCGTACTCTGGTGGGATGGTGAACGACCCGGGGCGGGGTAAGGTGCCCAACCTTCCCAGCCAGAACTCCGATTCCCTGGGACAACAGCCCACGTCAATCGCTACTCCAGCTGAGCCCCCGACCACTGATGACTCTTCACATAGTGCCGACCCTCCTCTCTCCTCCCTCTCTGCTAGTGAAGCGTCTCCAACCTCGAGAGCGGATCTTCTACTGGCTGCTGCAGCCAAGTTACCGCCGGCAGCGACTCTGCATGGTTATGTTACTAAGTACGCAGCGACAGCTACTCGTCTTGTTAGTAAAGGTTCTCGCAAGTGGCTGGGAGATCCCTTGGATATGCAAGACCGAGACTACGATGATGATGCTCGAGATGTTTATGACTTTGATGACCGCTTGGAAGAAGAGCTCATGCAAAAGAGAAAGAAAGAAGATGATATAACTGGGGAGGAAAAATTATATAGAAGGGAGTCCAACGCGTCGCTGCTGGTGGAGGCCGCCCTTAATGTAGCGGAGCAAACGATGAAGATGGACGGGCGGGGTGTGGGCAGCCACGACCGTTTGCTGGGTTACAGTGGACGCTACTCTCCCTTGCCACCAAGTTCGGTAGTGACCTCTATGGAGCAGATACTGCCCCATGATGCAGCTCTTGCAACGCACGTCAAATACACCAGCGCTGCCGACGACGAGCGCGCGCACCTCGAGTACACCTTAGAACGAGAATACGACCCTCGTGACTTGCCAGAGGTCATGGTGGTACACGAAACGATAGGCAGCCGTGAACTCAACGAGCAACTAAGCCACGACTTGCAAGACAATCTTCATGCTGCTTTAGATCATCTGCCCCCGACCTCCGATGACCTGCACCACTCTCATCATCACTCTGACCACGCTCATAATCTCACCTTAGTTAAGTCAGATGACCTCCCACCACCAACCCCTGCCACACCAGTAGACCCCGGCACGCCCATGGCCCCGCCCACGCCGCTCAGCTCCAGCGGTGGGCTGGAGCCGACGCTGCAAGTGCTGGACCAGTTGCCGGTGTCTCAGGGGCTGCCAGTGTCATTATCCTCGTCATTATCAGTAGGTCTGGATATGAGTTACAAGCATTACCGTCATGCAGAGTTGACGCCTGTAAGTCACGAACACTGCCTACCAAGTCATCTGGACGACTCTGAGGCATCAATGGGGCTGGACCCCATGGGCGAAGGGGGGCACCTGTCGCCTCGTCATGACCACCTGGCAGACCAACTGCCACTACCGGAGCTGCAGCCTCATGACTTTCGAGGACTTCCCGCACTGCGTTCTCCAGAGCCCCCGAGGTCCCCTTACCTTTCGCCTAGCCCAACACCAGATGCTCTGCGTTCATATCTAGTCACCACTGATGGCCTACGCTCCCCTGTACACCTTGACCAGTGTGTTGACATGACGAGAGCCAACCTCTTCCTGCGACCGGCGGATCTCGCGAGTCTCCAGCAACGATACCACGGGGATATGGGCCATCAGTCAGGTCGTTCACAGCTCTATGAACTAGAACGAGTGCCCTCACACTCGGTGGATCTCAGTGTAACAGGGCGCACACTGACCTACACGAGTGAGGCTCTTAGACCAGGGTCTGTTTGCACGACAGTGTACGTGTCAGATTCCCATCCGGACGACCGTCACTCCCTTGATCTTACTCTTCCAAGACATGATCCTGATTTACATAGAGCAAATTCCCCCAACCCCAACCACCCTGCAAACCGCGGGGTTTCACCACATTCCCAATTCTCTCCGCACAACCAGCTGTCGCCTAGTAACCAGTTATCACCACACAATCAGTTGTCACCTCACAACCAACTCTCCCCTCATAACCAGTTATCTCCCCACACTCAACTTCCACCATATTCCCAACTTTCTCCGCACGGACACATGTCACCACTTGTCAATTTAGGTATGGTGGAGCGAGGAGGGGTGGGCAGCCCCCCGCTCTCTCCTACAGCTAACCCCCCACTACCTCCCATTAGCCGCATTGTGGCTCCTGCATCTCATTCACCATTATTTACCTCGCGACAGATGTCTCCAATACCTAGACCTGAGTTGTCACCTTCCTTCACTACCCATACACATGGGGAAGTATTTGTTACAGGGGGGGCTGTGCCTCTACAACCCAGCACTCCAGGGCCACCCCTCACCCCCACACCTCAGATTACCAAAGATAGATCTTCACCCTATTCTCAGTACCCCTCCTCCCCATACCCTCGTCATCATAGCCATTCCTCCCCACCACCAACATACCATTACCAGTATTACTGACCACGGCTCACACCTTCACCCTCACATTCACCTGAGAGTTGCCAAAACTCTTTCGTTTTTCCTTTATAACCCTGATAGTGTTGAACCTTCCCTCTCTGCCCACTGTTCCTAGTACTGTACCAACGAGGATGGACCTTCTCAGCCCACCAGGTGTGGCCATTATCAGTACCAGGATTGTTCCTGATCCTTCTCCGTGTGAGTTACAACGACTGAGGTATATACCTCACTGAAGGCCAGACATTCTAATGGCGATTTTTACTCAATTATTTTTAGGTACTGTCGTTCATTGTGGGCATTTCCAGTTTAAATACCCAGTTTCATAATTTATAAGCTCAATTCAACTAATACTGATTACTCAAAGGTTTTTAACGACCGTGATATAAATTTAACTCCTGATAAGAGTTGTGCTTTTTATATCCTATGGGTAAATACTGTCTTGTATTTGTGGTTCATCTTCCTCCCCTCCTCTCAGTGACCCACAGCATAGTCTTGCCTCTTGTCTCCTTTCCTCCTTCATCGTTAAGGGCTGCCCTATGTGTGGAGGCTTGCCTTCATCGTGCCAGAGCTTCCCAGGGCTAGGGCTGCTTAGTGCCAAGGTAGTTCATTGCTAGGGTTGCCCAGTGCTAGGACTGCTTGGTGCTAGGACGGCTCAGTACTGGCGCTGCCCAGCGTTAGGGCTGCCCAGTGCGAAATGGTTGTCTTTTTTACGGCTTCTGAATGAACCAGTAATGTTGTGTCTGTAGGAGGACCTGCAATTTCCTCATGTATTGTGTCTAGGGTCACTCTTTTTTTTCCTCTCATTTATCACATACCTTATTGTCTCGGTTGTGACCCTCAACTTTAATCGTGTATACATGATTGCCTCTTCCAACTCAGGGAGTGCTGTTTTACGGAGTTCTTTCTAGTGATCTGAGAGGCATGACCCATGAGGGCCAGGATGGCCACAGGGCAGTGGACAAATGAATTACTGACACACTCCTCCTATGCACTCAACCATAACATATGCAAATGCAATATATATGCAATGTGTAACGAAGCCTGGCAATTGCATAGGCCATGTTTGTGCCCCAAAGCAAAGCCAGGCGTCGAGCTGAGTCACTCAAGAGGCGGGCGGGGTGATGATTGTGTTGTGTGGGATATGTCTCCCCGTATCCACAGTGGCCCTCGTGGCTGGTGTGCGGACTCACCCACCCTCCTAAAATGGCACCCACTGCATCAATCTTATTTTTCAATTTCGTGCCAAGACGCGGCACGAGAAGGCCTACCTAGCCTTCCGTGTGGTGGTCAGTTTTCACAGGACCCTGGGACTGTTGTTTGAACCAAAGGTTGCAGAGAAGGGTATGAAATATGTTATAAGTTATATATATATATATATATATATATATATATATATTATATTATATATATATATATATATCGTGCCGAATAAGTAAAACTTGCGATATTGGCTTAAATAGCAACACACTTCTTGACTAATAAGGCAAGCGAAAATTTGTGTATGCAATCATTTCGCAAAAATCATTCTGAACCTAACGAAAAAAATATATTTTATTGTGTTTGCTTATTATTTAATTCCTGTAAAGTTACCTAAAATATATTAAGTTAGATTTGGCTAAATTAAATTGCACTTGTTATAATAAGATTAGGTAAGTTTTCTAAGGTTCTTTTGGTACAAAATTATTAATTTTTACATTAACATAAATGAAATAAGGACTTAATTTTAAATGAATCTTGCTAATTGACCAATTTTACCTATGCGGCACGACATATATATATATATATATATATTATATATATATATTATATATATTTATATATATATTATATATTATATATATATATATATATTTATATATATATATATATATATAATATATATATTTATATATATATATATATATATTATAAATAATTATATAATAATATATATATTATATTATATATTATATATATATTATATTTATATTATATATTATATATATATATATATATATTTATATTTATATATATTTATTATATATATATTTATTTATTATATATATATATTTATATATTATATATATATATATTATATATTTATATTATATATATATATATATTTATATTATATATTATTTTTATTATATATATTTATATATTTATATTTATATTTTTATATATATATAATTATATATTATATATATATATTTTTATATATATTTATATATATATTTATATATTATATATTATATATTATATATATTTATATATATATATTATATTATTATATATTTATATATATTTATTTATATATATTTATATTATATTTTATATATATTTTATATATATATTATATATATATATATTTATATATTTATTTATTATTTATATATATATATTTTATATATATTTATATATATATATATATTTTATATATATATTTATATATATATATATATATTTATATATATATATTATATATATATATATTATATATATTATATTATATATATATATATATATTATATATATATAATATTATATATTTATATATATATTTATTATATTTTTATATATATATATATATTATATATTTATATATATATATATAATATATATTATATATATATATATATCTATTATATATATTTTTTATATATTTCTTTAATATTTTTCTCATTTTTTTATATTTCTAATGAGAGTTGTAATATTCATAGAATTATATGTGGAAGTATTTTAGTGTTACCCAGGGCAGCCTGTCGTTTTCTTTATCATTATGTACAAAGGGAGAGTGGTAAACTCGATGTGAACCTTATGTGCCAATGTTTCTAGGTAACACTTGTTAGCTACTGTGTCTGAATCATTCATGTTGACGATATTTGAAGGTGTTGCAATTGTTTCACGTGTGAAAATGGATTTTAAATGTATCCTTTGGATTTGTGTATTTACCGAATTGGGATTGAACTTAAAGCAATAACATAAAATCGCTCGCGGTGCAGGAGCCCAGACTCCGTCAGAGGCGGCATGAAACTTGATGCACACTGACATCAACACCAACACTTACACATACCACACATTTTGCAAACCAATAAACAGGAAAATTAATTAGCATCGATTTTTTTTTTTTTGGTATTGGCAATCATTTTCATTGGCCAGTAAACACTGGATAACTGCTGCAACATAATTAGATTCAAAATTGCAACATGCCAAAAGTACATTATGCAATTTAAAATTGCAACATAGAGAAAGTACGTTTAGCAAAAAATGTCATGGCGGTTGAATGCAGGAATGGAACACGGAACCGGAGCTGTGTATAGCCCGTGTGCCCCTGTTGCACTGACTGCTGTGACTCCCTCTCTCAGCAGTGTCAAATGTGATCATGTAATTAAAATTATCGTATTAAAAAATTACGAATCTTGAAAGCGTTCAGAAAAATTTTGAATGTTTTAGCAAGGTTAGTATATATTTTTAAGGGTGTGTTATTACTGTATATGAATGGTATATCAAACGATTGCGTTACCAAAACTAATAATGAAAATAAACTATATAACTTTCTTAGATCAATTTATATTAACTGTAATACCATATTTGATTGTACTTTTTCACAAACCATGGTGTAATTTTTTACGACAGACGAACACGTGTGAGGAAACTCTTACCTTGGACAGTTGTGCAGTGGGGGCATAGAGGCTCAAATGTAGGAAATTTATATAAAATTCTAGGATTAAGAATTATTAATGGTACAAATTATATGGGCATTTAAATTACAAACTGAATATATGATATCCGTTTGTAAGGATGAAAAGAAAATTCTTGCAATTTTAATAGGTGCGTTTCGCTGCAAATTGAGCTTTGCAGTAGCCTTAGATGATAGTTGTCACAGATGGCGGAGGTCAAAGTCAAAACAACCCGGTGACAAAATTTAAACGCAAACACACTCAGCAGTAGAAGTTGTTGGACATTTATAATGTGCACATAGTTATGTCCTGCATCACTGCCCTCTGTTATCCTGCACGATATAGAGGAATGTGTAAAACGTGTTCAGAGTGTACAAGGGATCCAAGAGTGTAAGAGTGCTCCAAGAGTGCTTCACTAAAGTAAGAGTGCTCCAAGTGCTGCTGCCCCTGACGACCTACCCCATGTACCCCCCCACCCCACCCCCTGTGGACGTTGTGATGAGTGTCCAGCATCAGTGTTCCCCCCGTACACCCCACCCCCACCTCAAGTGTCTCCTGGCCAAGTAGTGTCAACTGTATTATATTACGCTCATCCAATTATACACATAACTAATACTAACATATCACTTTAAACGTTAAAAACCCGAATTTCTAATATAGTGAAGAGTAAAGTAACCTCAGAGTATGCAATACACGATACAGTGTTTAAGGAGTTTACTTACGGCAAACTCGCCAGACATTACGCCTTCATAATATTTCCAGGTCATATAACCGGTTACAAAATGTCTTTTATGGCAATTATTCTGCACCAACTGTAATGGCAGACGGAGGAAGTCACCAGTAATGCACTTCATGTTGACACAACTTGGCTAAGGTTGTAGCTCCCCGTCAGTCCCTCAGATATGGAAGCCACCTTCAGAAATTTCCTATAGAAAATGGTCATCTTGGAATCTTAACACACGAACACACACACACAAATGGAAACCCGAGGAAATTTTTAGGTTAAAATCTCTATAGACAAACCAAAAAATTGTCCTTTGGAGTATTATGGTAATGAAGCAATAATGTACAACACTACAAATTAATATTTTGCTAGCACTTAACAGTTGGGATTCCATATGACAAAAAAATCTGGTAATAGGCTTTTTATGAGGTCTGTCATGCATCCTAGTCGTTACTTGCACTCTGGCATAACAATAGCTAGTAAGTTCTGAAGTGGCTTCCAGCTCACCTATCTCGAGTTTCGTTCAACAAAGAATGGTTGTCAGTTTCCGTGTTAGGAGGTTTAGACGACCTGTAGTAGAGCTCCCCGAGTCCTGTCGGGCCAGACGGGGTCACCCGAGTGTGTAGGAGAGGTCAGTTTCAACATTTAGATGCATTATGACACATTTGGTAGATTTGGGCCTTGCAAGGTACCAAATTGAGGGTTTTCATTGTTTTTTTTGTCTTTTTTTTTACATTCACATGTGTTGTATTGTTGTAATTGTTCGAGGATCAAATTTGCCATTTGTGACATTATTAGGAATCTTTGTAGTTTCCTTTTGTGGTGTTATAGTGTGTTTTTGTACCTGGCTGGGTGGTGAAATGCGACACTAAAAAATAGAAATAAGCAAAATACTCGAGTTTGAGATGGTATGAAAGAATGATGTGTAGTTTTTAAATAATCTGAAAGATTCAAAACAGGTGTGACGGGAAAACAAATACATGCGTGAGAAAAGGTTTTTTCTTACAGTAAATTGTCAACCCCAAAAGCTCTAGGGGGTAAAAGCAGATACACAGTGACAACTGCCCTAAGACAGTTTTGGTATATTTGTGATTTGGTTCGCAATTTTGAGTCTTGTGCATTGTTGTATAAAGAATAATTTTAATTCCTTATAAACCGTGATCCTTCAGACCATTAAATTCAACCTTGGTATTGTTATTATTAACTATAACAAACATAATTGGCACTCATCACCTTTTCGAAATTCAAATTGTCTTAACATTTCCCGAAAATTTCAAAATTTAAATACATTTGACACGTCACAGATGGGTGCGATGACTGTTTTGATAGTGAGGCTCGATTCTTGCACAAGACCAAGACCGTCAGACCATAACAAAGTGAATGACATTGTTTCTTGGCCCAGACCCCTCAAGCCAAGTTGCTCACGTGACACACCAGCCAAGCTGAGTCACGCCCGGCGTCGGTAACCTCTTCGGGCTCGGGAGATGACCGGTACCGACTGCCTTTCTAGGTTTGGGAAACGACCGGTACTGACCGCCTTGCTAGATTTGGGAGACGACCGGTGCTGACCGCCTTGCTAGATTTGGGAGACGACCGGTGCTGACCGCCTTGCTAGATTTGGGAGACGACCGGTGCCGACCGCCTCTCTGGGTTAGAAAGACTAAGGTGCTAACCACCTTCCCGGGTTCGGGAAACCGGCGCCGACCACCTCCCCCCGGGTTGCTGAGACGTCCGCGCCGGGGCGACTCTTCTCAGCTGCGCCTGGTATTGAGCTTTAGACCTCGATTCTTCCATGTTTTAGATTATGGAAATGTTGAAGTTTTTTGGATTTATGAATCTTTGTACCCTATGAATTTTTGAATGTTGTCATTACATTCCTCGGAAATAAATATTATTTTATTGTCTAAAGTGTTCAGCATGACTAATGGTTGTACTACTGAGATGTAACTCACGTTATCCCGATAACACCCATGCTTGACTCTTGTAACGAAGCTCAAATATTTGAATTTTAATGTTAAATGATCTTTATACATTTTCCCTGCTATTAAGTGAACATTTTATTGTTTGTTTCTGTGATATAAGTTACATTAAACATTATTATTAAAAAACTGAATTTGTGGTTTCATTTATGAAAGCATCGAACTTTGTATTGACTCTCAATGTTGGGTTGCCTCAGCATCGTAATATATTATTCATCATTCATCACTTCCAGGTCTTTCATCCCACCTGTTAATATATCTTAATATTCTACTCCACTAGGTTTCTCTGTACGAAAATACGAATTTTATCATGAGTTATTTAATCACTTTATTTCACCTATACTGTGAGAGGATACATGAGTTTTCCAGATGACATTAAGATGAATACGACAATCATAA